GCAAAGTTCCATGTAAAATTGACAACATAAAAGCTGTATCTCCAAAAAGAAAAGGAAGAAGAAGTAAACAATCAAGGATGTCTACAAAATACAGCATAATTGATCTGAAGATTAGGATGGAAAAATATAACTGAGATTCTGAAGGTCCATAAGACCAATGAACTATTTAAGGTAATGGCAGTTGACAAAATATTTCTTAAAGAGAAAAGGCAACATCAGCAATAGCACCGACTTGCATCAGAATGTGCATGGATAGATAGTCTAATCAACAGAGCAAAAAAGACTAAGGCACAAGACTAACCATCCCTCTTGCACATCAAAAAGCTCAAGTCATCCTCCAAAATTTCCATCCATGAAAGTAGTTTAATGTTAAGTATATTCTTCAATGTAAGTTTAATGCCACTGTAACAAATTGACTTAAGCCATTCTGCATATCAGAAAGAACTTAAAATAAAAAGAGACCAAAGAAGAGAAAGAACAACTTTTCTTTTTGTTTTGTGTTTCATTCAGGAAATTACTTACACTTGTAAACTTCTTGCAAAATGCAAATCCTACTTTCTTCGGGGTGGAAAAACAAACACAAGCTGAAAATGTCATTCAATTCCAGCCTTTAGGTTGTAAAAAAATAAATATATAAAGTGGATATTTATTTGTCTTATCTTGTTAAACAAAAATTCTGAGCATTAGCATATGGAATATGTAAAGATCATGTTTCACAAACAAACCCAACTTTTTGCCATTATTTGTGGACTCATTCTGAGCCATTCAATGTCTTCAATTCCAGCTTAATTTGAAGTGCACTAGCCATTTGGTATTAATTCAACGGTCCTCGACACAATTTTTACAATTCACCGAAAGCATTACAAAGATACTAAAAATTGGGTTGTACATAACAATTAATAAAATGCATGCCACAATTTAGTGACACAAGTTGGTTTTGCCTATCCCCATATAACAATTTCTTTTAGCTTTCAATTGAGTGCCACAATTTAGAATGAATGAAACGAATGATAAGATGGCACAACAAAGTATCAACATGTAATTGAAGTCTTATAAAACTGAGGTGACAATTTTTAACAACCATGACGATCTAGAAAATTGCTGGTTTTTCTCAATAAGGACTTAAACCACAGAAAGGCTCCAGCTTGGTGACAAGTTCTCACATCACAATCTATTTCAAGTCACATGAACAGATCGAGCAACTGACAGACTCAAGTTCACCACCTCTTATGTTGTCCGTGTCTAGTGATCCTACCTACTGAGACGTTCTAAACAAGCAAATGGCATAGACTAGCAATCCGGGTTCCAAAATAACAAATGGCTGGTGCTCATCCGCACTACAAACACTATTTTGATGGTGAATAGCCAATCAGAGAACAAAAGGCAGCTAGTAAAGAAACATATAATCTCCTCGAATTGTCACCTTGAATCCGGCCTTCCTCAGCGACGCGTCCGCTGCGACTGACGGAGAGACGGATGCCTGACGAACAGACAAACCATAAATCTCCATATCGTATCCGTACACGAAGAAACAACCGAAAATTTAAAGAAAACGACAAAAAGATCAAGAATTTGCACGAGATCGAGGCCGAGAACCGAATGATGAGAGGAGAAGACGGAAGAGATCACGTACCAGAGCTCCTAAAGCGTGCGCCATGGTCGCTAGATCTATAGGTTTCCTCTTCCTCTTATAGGGTTCGCGAACGGTAGAGAGAGAGAAAGAGAGCGCCCTTCGGGACGAGGAAGGGGCGAGCAGCCGCCGCAGCCGCCGCTCCAGTAGCTATGTTTGGTTTCCCCCCCCCTTGGAGTGATTGCATTTACGAGAACATCCTCACTCGTAATGCCCATCAGACCTATTTACCCTTAATGAACACCATATTTACAAAAAGGTTGTTCACACTCAGACCAGTACAGCCGTCCGATCTCTGCATCGACGGCTCAAAAGCATTCCCCTCAAAAGAGTAGAATCGTAATCACGCTATTTTTGCGCACACGTTTCTCGAATGTTGTCGGTTTGCCCTTCGAACCCTCTTTAGTCCCTCCGCCCACATTTCTCTGCCACAAGTCAACGTAATCTCAATCTATGAACAGTAAACTTAGATTGCTTTACATGAACCAAGGAATCAAAAATTCTTTTAAATATACTTAAAATATTTTACTAGATTTAATTAAGATTTGGAGATATAACATGAATGAGCAAAATAAGAGGAAGAAAAGGCCTAGTTGTCACCTTCCATCCCCATTAAAAGACAGCAGCTCCAATGTTGACCATGAAAGATCCTGAAGAAAGATGAAACATTTGGGTGAGAAGTTTGGAACTTCAAATAGTTCCAAACATGAGACTGAACATAGAATTGCTTTAAATGAGATGAAACAGTAAGATAAGGAAGCAGATTCTTCACAAAATTACCAGAAAGATGCATTAATCTGCACACTGGTCCATGATGATGATGCAGAAGCACACAGATATAATGAATTATCAAGAAAGAATTATGCATCAGTCTATCATTGCCAGCCAGGGAAAGTAATCACAGAGTAAATCCTTTGGAATTCCAGAATGCTACTCTCTTTGATCTTGGAATGACTTTCATCACTAAAGGAAACATAGAATGTTGTGGATTCAGAGCAAGCAAGCTCTGAATCCATTGCCTCAAATGCATAGGAACTGTCACGGTTAATTGCAGAAGCAGAACCTTCAGAGATGAAGAAGAAGATCCATCCCATTCTTACCTCCATCTAGAGCAAGCTTTGGTTCATATTTACTGACTTCAGGTTGTACACAGTGGTTCTGCTGATCAACCCCATAAGCTTGCCTTCAAATCTTGCAGAGAGTTCAGACAAAAAATTTGGCTAACAAAGAGGTTTGACATGAACATAAAAGGCCAGCAGATGAGTAGGAAATGGACCTCATTCTCTTGTTTCTCAAAAACAAGACAATGTTCAAGAATTATCAATTCACAGAGAGATAAATCCAACGATATCACAAAAAAATGGCATACGAATCAGTACCTTCGTAAAAATTGAAGTAGCAAGGCGAGGCCGATTACATGATATGCTGAAGTTGCTTGATTGACTCGACTTCCTCAGCGTCTACTAGGGTTCCGAATTGGCGAGAGAACTCGTCGTACGGCGATCTGACGCCCTCCGTCGTCACCAAATTTACCCTCACAAAAACGGCGCCTTTGCTCGCCTCAACAGTGAACGAAAAATGGCACCCTTCGTCGCTCACCAGAAAATAGCACATCAACCCCCAACTGGCTATCTCAACACGTTTTGCGCGATGACATTGCACCGTCCTCTCACGCCTCTTCGACGATTCGATGCAAAGATCTTATCTTTCTCCAGCTCTCCATCGAAAACCAACGAAATCACGGCAATCCTGCAACCAAATCGCATCACACTCCATCCCCGATCACAGAGATGGATAGACAGAGAGAAAGCGAGAGGCGGACGATTAATGACGTCATCTAGTTCACCGATAGGCACTTTCGTAATTATACGGACCCACAGGGTCGTTTTCGGGATCGCACACCACTGTAGATGCATGGCCCGGTGGCACTCTCGTAATTTAAAGTGTCTTACGTAAACGAAAGCACAGTGGCATTTTCGTAATTGAACGCAGCCCCAGCGGGGTGCGCGTCGTCGTGCTGCGCGTGCCTGCGCCTGCTGCTGCTGCTGCTGCGGCCGCGGCCGGCGATCAGCGCGGCTTTTGAGGCCGGCAGCAGCAGGAGGGATTCCGAGATCATCGAGGGGCGACGTAATGATTAGGCTGATGGTGCTTCGAGGATGCGTCTGTTCACAGAGCCATGGACGAAGAAGAGCTCTGCATCCAAAGCTCGAACCGTGAGGACTGCGCGGAAGACTGGTCGTGGAAGGAGGAGAGTGCTGCGTCCATGAAGACGTACGCCTCCCCCTCCATTTCCGTCTCACTGCCTCTGCACGAACTTTTGCGGCATTGCTTCCCCCGTCACAGAGAGAGAGACAGAGAGAGAGACGTCTCCGCCGTGGAGTTGCTGGCTAGACGGGCTTCGTCGACGCATCGGTCATGAGTGGTCACGGTCGCGGGTCCCACCGGAGACTGGATCATGAGTGGTCAAGGCGCGGGCGGCTCCCGTGGGGCCCAATCCGTGCCCACCCGACTCGGGTACGATGATGGTGTATGGCGCTCGGGATACGTCACGCATACGGTTGTCTTTCCCACTCGCGTCTCGGTTGCCCGAACGCGACCTTTCCTTTGGTTGGGTGGCATCATGGCCCTGCAGGTGGGTCCCCCTCGCACGTGCCATAAGTCCCAACGCATCGGGGCACGATGGGTGTTTCCACTAGAATTCTACAAAACGTTTTGCACCAACTTCCTGCACCAGATCCGAATCCCGTGGGCCCCGGGTCGTACGCACACCGATGTTCGACGTAGGTATTATTCCGGCGCATCTTTTACGCGTGAGGTACCGCCGACACCCGCAGCGACGAGACGCTGTCGTTGATGCCCTGTAGTGCTCGTCGTGTAGCTCAGCAACACGCGCCGGACGACGACGAGCAGGCCGAAGCCCTGCCATGGCCACGTCGCAGGACACATCACGGCCGTTATTGTTGACGGATGGGACGGCCTTCCCCGTAGCGTTGACAGCTGCTTCGCTTCGTCTGCGTGAAGCGGGGGACTACTGCTGCTGCTGCTGTTCTGCTCCGGAAGCAAACAGTGGTGAAGCGTTTGCAGGCTCACATGGCAGCTTTGATTCGATTGTTCGTATCATAAATGGTCTGCAACCCTTTTTCCCCACCTCTTTACTCCAAAAAAGATGATGTACGCTTACTGTCGTAGTATGGTTCTGCACACATCACAGCTGTTGGATTTCCAAGCTACGATGATGCATTTGACAGTGCAACTGTTCGATACAAGCAGATCTGTTCTGTCCACTGAGCAAGGAGATGTCAGCATGCAGTGAAAGGATTGGAATCACTGTTGACAGCATTGCAAGGCAGACTGGAAACAATAACAGGGATGAAGCATAAGCACAACACATCCATAGAATCACATATAGAACAGTCAGTTTCCACAGTGTTACTAGACAAAAGTTTGGATGTCCCATAGTAGCTTTTTTGGAAGCCATAACTCTAGCAAAAGGGATGTATTCTTAAGCTCCATCCAGTACTAGATAGATTAGGGTTCTGAGAAGCTTTCAAACAAAAGACCAGTTCACAAACATGAAAGCCAGACAATGGGGTGAATCCTCTTCATTCGAGACTTTCCATGCTACGGCCTGTTCATACGACACCGGCCTCCCCATGCTCGACATGCAGATGCCAGCAGGAAGATAAGCATGGCCCTACAGTTTGCATAGAGATGCACAGGTTTCAGAAAGCTTTCGATCAATCTGAACAAAACATAAAGCTTCACTGGTTTACTCACCTGCTGCATGATCTTTGGGAACTCTGAGCAAAGCACCTTCCGCGCACCATCATCGAGTATCTTTTCGAGTGTGATGTCTTGAAGAGCAATCAAGGTGGTTTCAAGCATATCCAGACCAGCTTGATTGGAGAAGGTGAACACAGGTGAAGCCTGCAGAGAACGAACACATGAATCTTCCTACCATGAGAGATCGTCTACGGTTGGTTGCGTAACAAGCGAAAGCAAATTGCTGCTAGACAAGTACAAGAAAATACAATAAGCAGAAACTTCCATACTATCACTTGCCTTTAAAGAACAACACATGATTGAATCAGAATGGTGCCAAAGCAGTTTCAGCAATGAATCACTAGCTTGCGAGTCTACTCGAAAGAGGTCTACTCCGGTATGAGCCCTGAAGTCAATGAATATGATTCATTAGGACAGATAACAGTGACAAACTTGTATTATGGATTGAAATATACAGTTCATGCACAAATTGGTATGTCAATTTTCATCGCAAAAAAAGTAGTATTTATGTGATCATCAAGTAGCCTAAGTAGCCCTATAGTGCAACTGATAATTCCTTTTCGACTAGAACTTCAATTTGATGAGACATAAGCTGGTAGGTCATAAAATGCAGAACCGCATGCAAGTACACAGTGAGACTACCTGTAGCTCCGAGAAACCCATCGTGCCAGAGTGTGAGCTTCAGGAGAACCAGGTGGATGCTTGACTCCAATCTGACATCCAGGTCGAGGTGCAATTGCCATAGCAACTCTCTGCACCGAAGCAACCACGCTTCTAACGTATTGCCGGGCCATTGCTGCCACATTACCTTGGAGGTGATTCTCACATGTGAACTGGAAAGCTATCGTCAGGACTGATCGCAGGTTGTACGCATTTGATGCAGTCTCTTTAACAGAGCAAGCTGTGGCACCAGATCCAATCTCTAGCGTGGAAGCCAAATCAAGTGTTCGTGTTGCAGTAGAAGAATCCTGCATCATCGTACATGCTGAAGTTAAAATTCAGAGAATCATGGGTATCTTAGAACACCAATTGCAGTAACTTTTTAGAAAATGCTTTAGTGTGAAGTCACCCAACTGTTTTAGGATCCAGCGGAATAACACGGAAACCTGATGGTAGCAAAGGAACATCATCAGCAAAAGATTCATCAATGGGTGCAAAGACAAGCTGAGCACAGGAACCAATTGCATTCTCATCAACTCCACTGCAAAGCTGCCATCATGTAGATAAAGACAAAAAGATCATTCAGCAAAAACATACTGAATACTCAGGATTTGAGATGTAATGCAACTTCTACAAGACAAACCTGCAACAAGTACATATCCCTCGGTAAAATGACATCATCTTGGTTAAAACCATGACCCTCAAGCCTGATCACCTCCAAGAACTGCAATCAAGGGCATTAGCATGATACATCATCAGTAGCAAATGCCACGAAGAAGTACAAGAAATGTTCTTGGCATTAGAAGGCAAATTACCTCTTCATGCTCCACAGTATGCGCAAGAGGAAGTATCATCTGGCTGCCCAAGAAGCCACTACTTGCCCTAACACCAGGAACTGCATATGGGCTAGCTCTCATTGAGGCAGCAGAGTAAGCATCTACACCACAATCAGCCCATTCTGAACGATGCTCCCTCAGAAACCGGACCAGCATAGCAGGTGGCACATTCTACATAACACAAACCAGTTCGCTAGGATCAATTTTGTTCTGAACTAGAAAGCACAGGTTACAGAAGACATTCCTGCAGAGCGATAGGAGGGCCCACTATTTAAGGGTAAAATGTCAGACCTGCAGCAGCATTGATGCTTTAGCACATAGAACACCGACTCCAAGGGTTGAAAACATGGCTGAAGTGTTCACGTGTGAACCAAGAAGTTTGTTCGGGGAAGAATTTACAGCAATTGTCACATCATCAACACCATCACTACCCAGTAAAGACCAACCATCGTCAGCAAATCCATTTACAGCATCATTGAAACCTCTGCAATGTGCCCAGAGCACTTGCCGTTAAATATATAAAGCTATTGTTGGAAAAGAAAATCTCAGGTAAACATGGCAACTTATTAGCCAATAACCTGCTCAATCTTTGACTGAAAGTTCTCAAAACAGCAGGTTGTCGACCCCCACCATATGGAACTTCACCGCTGGTCTCCTGAGCAATTTGTTTTAGGTGGCGGAGTGCCTGGAGAAAAGGTCAAAGCATGACTAATGGTGTGAGATAAGCAAAATGTTTAGTAAACAAGCAGTAAAGCTTACAGCAATTGTCATTTTCTGTGCCAGAATTTTTGGTGATTCATATAAGGGCCTAAGAACCTCAGGTACACTCCACGCCTGAAGGGTCAAAAGATATATCATCAGTAAAAGATGGTTGTATTCCTCAATAAGAGTATAAGATGGATAACTCACATCTAAATCAACATGGTCAACAATGTGAATCATTGAACCGCCACCCTCACATGGTCGGATTAGGTAACCACTGGAAAGAACTTCAGCTCTTACAAAATTTGGAGCAGGTGGCCCAGCAGGACCACCAGTTGCAGGAGTCAACGATCTCTCACAAATCTAAAAGAAAAGTGTCATGTTGAAGTGTGTTCAATCATTCAAAAATAGGAAAAATATCAATTTCACGACAAAAGTTCAGACACAACTCATACCACAAGACTTCCATCTTCAAGACCAGTAGTATATCTCAGCATCCAAAAGTCCCGTGCTGCTGCCAAAGTAGTAGGCGCATATGTCTGATGGCAAGAGATTAAAAGAGAAGGTCAACTTAAAGGAAAGAAGGAAAAAGATCGATGACCTTTTCTAACTTCATATAGACAATAGACCAGGAAAACAAGACCAAACCTGCATGTATATAAGTTCAATATTCCCTCCATTACCAGTGGGGATTACAGTAACCACATCAAGGCAACGACAATCACGATACCAAGATGGACGATCCTTAAGAATCTCAGCAACCTAATAACCCGAACAAACCATGAAATACACAACTAGGAAAAGGAAATAGCAGCAACGAGAATTCAGTAAGCAATGGCAAACCTTTGTGGGCTCTAGACTCACAAGGCCACAAGCTCGAGCTGCTACCCCACTAACATTGTGAGAAACAGCAATGATTCCAATGGAATCCGGACCAGGCTAGAAAGGAAAATGAGAAATAAGTTTGCATCATGCAATCTGTATAACATAAATTGACAAGCTAAAATCAGCTCGATAAGAAGTCTAATGAAGCATCACCTTCATCCCAACCATCTGAACCCAATCGACAGCAGTTCCAGTAGCTTTTGACAGGAACTCTGCCAAGGTCTCCTCAGCAATTGCAAGAAGGCTGCATGTCCCAAAAGAGAGAAAAATCATTAGCAGAAGACACATGATAAAAGCAATCTGGATTAGTGAAGTCATGACCAGTAATTTTGATTACCCAGCTGGGTTATTAGCATCTCTTTGTGAATGCTGAGGTGTTGGGTTTTGTTGATGGTGGTGCTGACCACTTGTGACTACAGACTCGCAGCTGGTGTCAGTGGTGGCTACGGATGTCTGAATGTTCATTTACAAAAAGAGTAAGATCCCAACAAATATTGTAACATATGAAAGAATCTAATGGAGCTTCTGAGTCGAACATGGAAAAAGAAATATAAATTCATATCCATAACATTCCTCTCATAATGAAAGAATTATGAATGAATTAGGAAAATTCATGCATAACTCAAGACTTGGTTGGTCCATGTTAAATCCAACAATGGATGACAATCAAATGGAGAGTTTGCAGTTCAAGCAAACAGCTGTTAGATAAACAAAGAGAATGCAGAGCATTGGACCAAGAAAATGACATAGATTAAACTAATTTATTTTAACCATTGAAAAACCAAGCACATGAAAAATAAAATGCGAGAATTGTTCCATCAACATACTAATATATTGTAGAAGGTGAACATTCATGCTTACGTTATGCAGTTGCTGGCGCATATAGCCATTCTCATAAACAAGTTGTGACACCTGCTTCTGCAACCGGTCATTTTCCTCCATCAACAGTTTGTTCATGGCAGTAAGCTTGCGGTTAACAGTTTGGAGTCGAGAGGCTTCCTTTCTCTGCTTCTCGCGACATCTACAATGAAAAAAATAAGGGAAAGCAGTGAGATGTTGAGCACCCTAAAGTAACATTCAGCAGAAGGCAAGTACCATATTATTACAATTCCAATCAATATGCTATTCAGTACTCCAAGCCACTTGTGTTTTATCAGAAAAACTAGCAATAACAAAGGATCAAAATACTAAGAATCTGATCACATAAGATTAATTTGTAGGAAATTTGTAGAACAAATTAACTACTTTCTCCGTTTATGCAGTGTCAAATCATTTACAGATTGGGAGAACCAAAAAATCCACCAAAGTTCAACAGCTTCAATTTGACAAGCATTAATCATTGTGTATTAACAACTACCCGAAAACCAAAACCATGTATACCAAATTAAAAATAGTCAGGCAAAATAGAAATATTCATAAACAAAAACTCAAACAACAACAACAGAAGACTCTGTGTCCCGAAACAGATCAAGCAACATGTCCATAACATTCTGAACACAAATCATTAACATAAAAAAGATCCCGAGAAATATACTAAGCTGATGGGTCTGCTTTTTGGCCTAGAAAGTCCATCATTGACCAACCGGATTCAATAACCTCAGAGTCCTACAGAGGATCATTGACATCTTGCAAAACATTCACAAATATTATGGATTCAACTTAAAAAATACCAAATGAAAAACACACTATTTGAGAACAAGAGAAGGAATATGGTGAGCTGTCTCTCTCAATGAAGGATTATGGACACTTGCATTTGGTAATGTAGGACTGAACTCGAGAACATCCATGAGAAGCAGCAAAGGAAAGGTAAAATACCAAAATAGAAAGATTCAAAGCCACCTCTGACTCAAAAGATCACATCTTTATACAACCACCTCTTGAAATCCTAACTATAGAAGGAAAAAGAAGGAAAAGAAACCAAAAATCTCAAACTCCCCGACAGTTTCGCGACGAGTTCAGCCCAAAATCCAGCTCAGGCTGATGAAGAGTTGGAAATAACAATACCAAGACACATTTGAGTGCCCAAAGGGATCAGATCCAACTCTCGGAATAGGAAGAAAACGGTGATCGACCAAAAAAAGACTTTTTGTCCCAGCAAAACCTCACGATTCCACCAACTTGCGGTGTTCCATCGATTCTTTACCTTCTGTTCTGGAACCAGACCTTGATCTGCTTGGGCTCGATGTTGGAGAGGATGGGACACTCTCGTATAAGCTGCTGCCGCTTCAGGGAGCTCGGCTTGGGGCACTCGCTGTAGACCCTCTCGAGCGCCTCCACCTGCTCCGGCGTGTACCTCACGTACTTCCCCGAATCCATCGCCAAGGCGGCTGCCTGCTGGCTCTTCCCCGTCTCCTTTCCGCTCACAACCATGGCCATCTCGCCCCCTCTAAAAACCCACCCAAAAATCCAATCTTTCCCCAATCGACACGATCGCCCACCCTTAGCGACCGCCCACCACCCACTTCTTCCGGCTCCTCGGCAGCGGGAGACACATCACCGCCCCTCAGGAGCGGTCCGCTGCCGCCGAGAGGGATCGCCTCTTCCCCTGCTCCCCCGAGGCGGCCATTACTACGCAAGGCGAAAAGGAGGCGTTTTGCTTTAGGAATGCGTAGGATTTTGCTTCACTCCGCTTTGTTTCGGCCTTTTTATTTCCACTGGCGGTGACGGTGGCTTTTGTTTACCGCCGAACACCACCAAATTCCCCCGGGCCGAATCAACACGGAGTACTTTCCCGGGTGACGTTACCCACGCAGCCGCGAGTCCCACCACAGGCTCACGGGAGACAAACGCACCTTCAAAACTTGCTCGGTTCAATCGGCCGTGCTAGCCGACATCCTTCTCTCACCGCGCTTCGAAGTGCGGGGTGGAGCGGCGGTGTGTTCCTTTTGATGCGGTCTTCTGCCTCGCAAACGACCGCTTTTGAGCTTAATGGGGGGGGAGGGGGTTTGATAAAGCGTGCGGGGTTTTCTATTCTTTTGAAGGAAACGTCGTGGGAGGTGAAGAATTGTTTATGGCGTTGTGGTCTGGTAGCTGCCAATGCATGCTGCTGCTGCTGCTACTGCTGTGGCCACTGCCGCTGCAGCTGCAGCTGTCACAGTGCAAGACCAAAACAAAACACAACAAAGAAAGTGCTTTCTCTCCCTTCAATGCTCTGTGTTTGGAGTGAGAGTGAGTGAGAGAGAGAGGGACAATGATCCCATGTTGGTGTGTGGGAACAGTATGATGCATACAGCATCATGTCTTTCTCTCTCTTCATCGTTTCCTTCCTGCCTAAAGCCCTGCATTGATGCACTCGTCTCTCTCTCACTCTCTCTCTCCTTGCGACAAATAAGATTCTAATCTGAAAGAAACATAGCCATGAGTCGTTCTTTTGCTCTCTACTAAACCAAATCAAAATTACGTTTATGATGACATTTCTACGTTGTTTTCTTTCTTAGAAACGAGAGAGAGAGAGAGAAGAGACTGTCAGTGTTGCAGGAATGCATCGCTGCCAATCTGAAAGAAACACATATAGCCAGTGATAATAAACCCTGAGCCAATTATTTTGCTGTTCGGTAGATCATTATATGATGATCTTAAACAACAAAATGGTCGGAAATCTTTTGTCCCTCGATTCGGCTTTCTCTTCTTTTTCTCTCTTTTCTTTGTTGGTGTTCTCCCTCTCACTGTTCCCCCAAAAGTGAATGGAGTATGCCTTCTTTTCTTTGTGTGTGTTGCGTCGCTGCACCGCCATGGGCGGAGGAGAGGCGGTGGCTCTGACCGTGGTGCGGCCATTACTGCCGTGTGTGTTGACCAGGGAGACAAAGATGGAGGAGTTATTGTGCCGGCACCAAATCTGGGATGAAAGATCTAATCCAACTTCCTCCCATTTAATTCTGGAATTAATGCTAATGGATTCTGTTCCCCATTTACTCTCAGCTCGCTCTCTCCGTGGATCTCTTGCCTCGCAATCATCCACATAGCCAACACATAGGTGTCGTTGTTCCCATCACAGTGTTGCGGCAGATATTGAAAGATACAGCACCTGCTTGTTTCTCATTTGTGAATGACAATGGCATGTTGGGTTTCAGATATCAATCAGAGAAGATCATGCATTAACTGTACCAATACAGAGGAGACCTTTGTTCCATGTTCTTGTCACTGTCTCAAAAGTCAAGAAGGATTCTCACTGGTGAATCTCAATGATGCAGATCACACTTCATGCTCTGTTGAGCACAAGACTAGCTTGATAATGCCTCTCATTATGCAATACAAAGTATGCTAGAAAATGCCATGAACACATCATGAGAATTAGAGAATGAATAATTTTCCTTTTTGAATTTCCTTTTCATTCATTTGTTTGATTGAGACATACCAAACAGAAAGCATCTGATGACCAACCACCACACATGGAACTGAATCTTGAGTTGATGCAGGTGGTGGTGAGGCCTCCTCCTCCTCTTCCTCCTCCTCCTCCTCCTCCTCAAAGGCTTGAAAAGACAATGAGAAGCTCCATTATTGCTGCACTTTCTGCATGAACTACTTACTGGTTTGCCACTATGGCAAATAGAGTTTGTGTCACAATCATCCATGTTCAACAAGTGCAGCCACCATCAGAGACTACTACATTTCAGATTGAACTTGTTCTACAATGAGCTGTTAAATGTTTCTAGTCTGGTGAATCTTGCAGGAGTGCAGTAAACAACTTATGTGACTTGAAAAAGTGCTTTAAACTGGTTTGAAGACCTACCAAATCCATGACTAGTAATATAGAGGTAGCTATTCCTGCTATGCCACTAACATGACTAGTGGATCATTGGATAAGTTAATTATATAGGGGAGGATGAATTAGTGGAATAGTTGGACCCATGGTTAGGGGACAATGCATGATGCAGCTCTTTTTCTAGGCTCTTAGCATTTTCCTGGATCTAAGGATTGGTCAAAATTGCTCCTTTACTAATGGCTTCTGCTCTATAACCTGTGTCAATCTCTCTGCTTGGGCACCACCATTCATATTGACTGAACCATTTAGCTCCAATTCTGTTTATCTTGACTTAGGGAGCCATAAAACTTGGTTAGTGCATTCACAAAGTCAAATGATATGAACCACCAATTAAACATATAACAGTGTTATATGTATGTTCAGCTTTGCACATCTGCTTTTTAACTCTGACTAGAAATCAGAAATATATTGCAGACAGGCTCTGGAAATTGGAAAGACACATGAGAGAGAGAGAGAGAGAGTGGAGCAAATTTGAGCTAAGTGGGGGGGTGGGACTGTCAAAACCTTGGAACCCTAAAACGCTTAGGGTGCTCAAAGCTACTTTTGAGGCATGAGGTACACCAGCACCAACCATCACCTTGTCATTTCTTTTTCCAATCCCTCCTCCTCTTTCTTCTTCTTATTCTTCTCCTTTTGCTTGGGTGACAGCAGAGAGTGCTGCTGGCCACACCCTCCCTTCACTCCAAAGCTTGTCATTAGCTTTATTCAGAAGAGAAGGAAATGTGTGAAAAGGCTGCTGGGGAGCAAAAGCACTGCCCTTTTAGTTTTCCTAAGGTTGGCATGCACACAAACAAAGAGCATCCCAAGCACAGCGAGGGACAGGCACTCCACCCAACTCTTCCCAGGCATGGTCTCTCTCTCTCTCTCTCTCTCTCTCTCTCTCTACAACATCAGCTGAAACAGCAACAAAGAAGAATGACAACAAGAACAGGAACAATTAATGGGTGATGATGGAGGTGGGCGGGGGGAGTCAGTGGCCACAGGGTACTCGCACAGGGTGTCTTCCTGTCTCCTCTGTGGCATGATGAGGAGTCGTGCGTGCTACTTTTCTCATGCCTTCTCACCCTTGTCTCCTCCCCCCCCCTTCCTTTTCCTTCACAAAAAGGAGAGAAGGGAGTCTAGATAAGGTGGCCCTGCCTGCCTGGGTAGTGCAACTGAGGCATGCTCCCCGTATCCATTGCGTGATCTCCCAAATTAACGAGCGTGGAGGTCCGGGGCTCGATCCCCAGTAAGCTTTCATGGCCCCCCAACCTTTTGGTGAGGGTGGTGGCCGTCGTGGTGGTGGTGGTGGTGGTGGTGGTGGACGGCTACTGCCGGGCGCGGCGCGCGCGTGTTCTTCGGCATGCACGCCTGCCTTTGCGTGCCTCCCACACCACTTTGTCCAAGCTATGTGTTTCTCCAAGGATTTAGCTGCACGTACTTCACAGGGTGGTGGTGGTGGTGGTGGTCAAGATGTTTCCGGTCATTCGGTAAATGGTGAAGAGATACACACGCAGGATTAGCGATGGAAAGGCATGGATCAATCAAGCTTGCACGGAACATTATTAGAGTTCATTGAAGGCAGGGTCTCATGATTGGAGATCCAACGGTTCTCCTCATCTCTCTCTCTCTCTCTCTCTCTCTCTCATGCTCACATAAGATTCAGATGTAAAACATTGCTACTTATCACTGAGGCCAAGAAGTGCTCATAAGAAGAGATTAGGGTATAGAGAAGAGAGCAGGAATGTGGACATTCATGAGGGTGTGTCCCCCACCTCTGAAGAAGTGCACTCCTTTAATCATGCGGACTGCATTAGATTTATAAGATCAATCAGTCACTGTCCCTCAAGACTGCAATGTTTTTATATGCCTGCAGCATTATAACAATTACATGCCATCATCATATCTGTCTAATGTGCATATTGCATCGATGAGACCGTATAACATTATTTCTTTCATTTCCCATTCTCCACCTGTTACCATTCACGAAATGCAAACAAAGGGAACAAAGCTCCATTCCAAAGGACCATAGATGAGTCTTTTGCACTACTGCATGGCCACTTTGCAGATGACCAAAATGCTGCAACAGGAGTTCATTGAAAGAGAAGAACTTGATATGTGGATGTAACAGATTGAGGTTCCCTCCCCTGTCGCATGCAGATTTTGGAGAGCCATCATTGCTCACCTTTGACCTCTCCAGCTGACTTAGAAGCAGGGATCCTAATGTAAGATGTCAACCTTTCATCAAGATTGAGTTGACATTTGATCTCCATCTATTTGGAAGTGCCAAGTATGCTCCTGGAAAGACCGAGCAGACACAAGTAGTAAAATATCTCAAACTTAAGGAAATTGCTATAAATATTTATATATCACAAGCATAAATATAAATGAGTTTGGTGTTTTATCCTTCTTTATTGCTGGCTAGTCAGTCTTAAAGGAATACTTGACTTCCTGATTGTTGATAGAAAACTTCATACTACAGGTTTGAGTTTTACTATATCTGCATCTTTGAGAAAAATAAGAACATATGAAGTCTCCTAGAATTTTGGGTAATTAGCAAATTGTCAATATGGTCAATTTCTTGACTCAATTAAGGTTGTGGTATCATTGAGGAAACACAACATAACACACAAAATCAAGGCAATATTGGCAATGGAAGACAAATAATCACCATGTGAGAACCTAAGAGAACACCTGAGAAAGTCCAATCTTTAAATGAACCTATGAGATCTCTCACTTACAACATCAACAAAGTCTTCTAATAACATGCCGATCACTAAGGGCTACAGTTTAAATTATGAAAAGAATCGACAAGTTTGCTTCTACAACCAGGCTTTTGGTTATTCCAGCAAACTCTGTACAGTATCTGTTCTTCCCAAGAACCAGCATACATCATTCATTGCCCACTGGTAGCTTATCAGAGTCTCCAACTTTAGAAGGCTCTGCTCTATTGCTAGAGAGCTTAGTATTTTCTTTATTAGCAGAACGCTCATCAGAAGCTGGAACATCAGAACGTTGGGCCATGTCATCCGAGGCAGCCTCATCCTGTTGATTTCCTTGGGACTCATTCTGTTGATCTGCTTCAGACTTAGAATTAAGAAACCTACCTCCGCATCCTCTAGCTCTTCTCACAGCATGCAAATGACGGGATTCATGTAGATACGGCTGTATAGTGGTAATGCTAAATATGTTACAAAATAAATCCACAGTTCAAGATGAAAGAAATACAACATAAGCAAGAAACAGTATTATCTTAATCATATATGAAATATGATTCTGTCATAATGAAAAGGTGAGAACAGTAATACAATCTCCAAGATCGGACAATCAGCACAACTGGAATATTCCATAGATATTTTAACAAGCAATAAAATGTCAGGTCAAAATAGTCTGAAATCTTGTATTCCCAAGAGCTATGACGAATCTATCAGAAGGATAAGGAAATGGATGTTCCAATTTGATTTCATAGACCAACTAATGGAGAGCTTACAAGCAATACCTTAAAAAACATGTTTTGTTCGGTAAATAGCCACATTACATATACCATATGCACTAGTAATATGTGGTCGCCTGGATAACTGGACGACAATGACGTAAGTAGCTGCACGAAGTCAAGCATGTGACTACAGAAGATTGCATATGGTCAAATAATGATTAAAAGAAATGTTATATCTATATAATATTGTTTATTTAAATTCATATGTTATTTGGATTCTATACATATAATACTTATATGCATAAATTATTTTTTATTCAACTACATATTTTGTGACATTTTTTGGATTTTTGTCTATTTGCTTGACTCTTTAAAAGTCTGAACCTATGGCATATATTTGCAACTTCTACAAGATTGTGCATGTCATAGTTCTAGGATTCATACATTGTTTTGGATAATTTCTTTCAATGGCTGTGATTCATTACTATAGTTGACTGGTTGTGATTCTTAAGTATAGTTGATGCATTGTTAACTTCCCATCAAATGTGGTCAGATTTCTTGAACTGTATATCATTAGTTATTTTTGTTCTATTTGGTTTTAATATATTTTTAAAATTATTCTAAAATAGTATTAGAATCTGCATATGCATCCGCAAGTGTACCCATAAAACACATGCACTATGCAATAGACTAGCTGCTTGGATAATGCTTCTGCTTTATAAACCTTTAGTTTTCATAGACCAACCTACAGTATTCTGGCCTTAGTATAGACACACAAGTTAAAACCTTCCATGCAAGCCCACATAATCATTACCTTGTTTTTTCTGTCCAAATAAACAGTAATAAAAATTATATTATCATTAGAAAGATCAACTCCAACAGCAAGAAATGCAAATTTCAAGAGCATTGAGGGGTAAAAAGGAGGTCATAGGTCACTGCGCTATCACAACCAACAATCCTGACAAATGAAAAATAATATAAGAATCCTATCTAGTGGTCACGAAAAGCATGTCATTCACTGAATCCCCACCCCAAAACGGTGATATGTGATGCATGCGACAAAAGCACAGGGTAGGGAGTCCAAGAATCAATGTTTTCAACAAATACCAAAATATTTAGCCCGATACTGGGACAAACGTCAGGAGAACTAACAGATAGACTAGAGAGCTGTAGACATGAGTACTAACAAATTAAACCAATATAATTGCAGAGACACATATACACTTACAGATTGTTCAAACGGCAGATATATTAAGTAGCTTAAGCAAAGACCTAGTGAATCTAATGAAGCAGGTGGCCATAAGTACTGAAATATTTTCTTTACATCCTGTTTGGTACAAACTAAATTTTTGACGAATAGGAAATACGATTCTTATTTGTGGAATCACTTATTTCTAATGGTACAACAACACCACCACCAACAAGCCATAATAGGATAAGTGACTTAATTCAGTTCGGTGGGATGGAACTTAATTGATTCATTACTACTTCAAAGAAAATCACGTGATTTGGAGTCAAATTTGGTGAAACTCATTTACTTCTGTTATTTTACAGAACAAAGTAGTTGTACACCTTTTTTTCGTGTGACACAGTATAATTCTTCTCTTCATAGCAAAAGATATCAGCGGGTCAGTCGATATCGAGTTAAAGTGTGTTCAGATAGAGGGACGTAACAGCTTATTCAAACCCAACTTGACCCAATAGTAAGATAAGATTTCATGTCCTGTGTGCGATCCATGGTGAATTGGTCAAGTTGGTTTGAACGAACACAATCAACGTCAAGTTTTATTTTATATCCAAATAAAGGTATTACAAAAAAATAATAACTGGAACCATTTTTGTTTCCTTCTCAAACATCGCAACTTAAAAAAATAAATTCATTTTGTAGTATTTAAAAAATAACTTCTAATTTAGCTAAATTCAATTCTAATTAACTGAAATGAATTCATCATCTGAAACAAATTCTGATTATATAAATCAATAAAATACCATATGAAGGTAATTACAAAAAGTGTGTTGGACTCAATGAATCATTGAAAGAAGTACCAAGAATGACAACCCACACAGGATTTCTGATTTGTGTCCTGGTAGAATTATTGTATTAAAATATAAATCAAGTTGGGCACATAGCATCAGATGTTATGAATATTTTTGCCCCCCATTTGAGACATGAAGTCAAGCTCTAGCAAAAACCCACCCAGCTATATGGAGATCTTATGATGGTTCACCCTATAAAAACTAATAGTTAACAATTTAACCAAGAAGCACAAGTTTAATTATGACAACAGGATATATGGATAACCACATCAAGAGGCAAAACCATCCAATTAATCATTTAGAATAACTGCCAAAAACACAATTCTATTGCCAGCTAATGCTTCCTCTAGCCTAATGGGAAAAAAGATCACTAGCGTTGAACAGTGATCTAACTACCTAGCAAGAATTAATATCTTTAGTAGAGACATACCTTACGAACTTTAGCCAATTTATTTTTTGATTCAGCTTTTGCTCGAGACTGTCGACGCCTTAAGATACCATGATATTGTTTTGCATTGACATAAACAGGTTCTTCAATTGCATCAGTCGGCAATGGCACTCCGGGATGATTGACTCCAATCAGTTGTGGATGTATCTAAGTCACATTGGCAGTGGTTAACAAAGCAAAAGAACTTATAGTTGATAAACACCACACCATACTGAAATGAAGATATAGGTACAAATTGGCTCCTTGCAAGCAGTATTTGATTTTTCAGATTCCAAACTACATTAAGCACATACGCCTGTGTCAGTTGAAACATACCACATGTTGCCCACTGTAAGCTGCAAACATACCACCATAGTAAGGATCAACAAATGGGTAAGCTGCCGGAGCCTGTCACAAAGAGTATTTTCATACAATTAGTCAAGTCAGTTCAAACACATTTTCCTTAATTAATTCACAATGTTTTCTATTATCAGTAAGGCATCCAATCAAAGAAAATTAATGAAATAGACATTAAAAAATGGTTGATAAAACAATTCCCTAGGGAAGGTAAACTCAAATCCTTGTCTGCCACTCTGCCTAACCCACTGTCATATAGCACCACTTATTGCTAACTTAGTGGTCGAGGAAAACTGTTTCAGGGCACCAGTAATAGGTACACAGCTAACAGTGTTTGCTGTGAAATGGCTCCGACATAATTAAAGCTATTTTCCTGCCTATCGCCTCAGGAGATGTATGTACATGCTCCCACCAATAAGAGGTACCTCACCAAGAAGACTAAACAGCTTCCAAATGTGGAACTTAAAATGCAAGCTATGCCTTGAATACTTTGTTTACTTTTACCAATATGCAAAATCATTATAGATAAAAGTTCCTACAATGATCTAGAATCAGTAACCTTATATATACACAAAAAGAATGCAAGAATGAGGTCAAAAGTCATTGCCTGCAAAGTTTTGGCTTATGCTTCAGGACTATATGTAAAACCAAGATAAAAAGGCAGCTTTCTCTAGAAATACAGATGGAAACTATATGGTAGTTATCTAAAACTGTATTAGAAACAGAAGCAAAAGCAAGAATAGTTTCATAAAACTCATGTCAATCCTTTTGACTAAGGTAAGAAGAACAGGTTCTTCATGGCATAATAACGTACAAATATAATGTATTTACATAAGTTAACAGCCTGAAGGACAGTACCACAGTCTGTGCTACGTCAAAATGACTAGTGGGCACCATGTACCCAGGCAAATGTGTTGCCACACCAGAATGCAAGCTGGCAGTTGCAGAAGGTTGATGTTGGTTCTCAGATTGTACCTGGTCCTGCTGTTCATCAGTTTCACTGTTATCTGGAAGTCACAAGGACCACATGACAAATAAGCTTTAGGGCAAACTTCCAAAAGAACTACCTAAACATATCGCACACCAAATTGGACTTCCTTTTTCGATGCAAAATTTACAACCTGATAATGACATCTTACCATTGCAACTTGTGTATCTGAATCTCAGACATAAAATCACCTGATCAATTAGTCATGTCGGTTGGCAACCAAACAGCAATATGCCTAATTATTACACGAAAAAGCAAAGGCAAGTACAAGATTTTCCAAGAAATTTAAATAAGACAAGCTAGCACACCCCTTCATGTATGGTGTCTAGATAAAATATTTCGCTGGTTATGATATGTAACAGAAATTATAAAAGTCAACGGAAGTCTCATGAGCATATCGATGATTAAGGCATTTCCTTCCTTGAGTACTAATTTAGTCATGATTATCTAACTGCCTACAACTTGCCAAATTTACGATCTTGAACACATTATTAGCACAATATATAAGTTATAACAGTAGAAATATGACCGCTAGATTCCTAACATACAAGATAGCAGAAAGAAATTATTGGAAATTTGAAGTGAAATTTACCAGATAAGCTTTGAACCGAAGAAGTCATGATAATTGGAACTAAAAGCAGCTGAATTCAGACCCAATCTTGAAAGAGGGCTAATAAAGCATGCTCCTGACACCAACCACAACTATTTAACCTGTCCAAACAGAGCTTCACTTGCAGTTTCCCAACAGAGAGCGAAACTTTCACTTCTATAAGTGGTATAAGCTCAAAGACTTCAATCCTGAAATTGCAACCACAAATAAGCGATAATAATTGACAAAAAACTGACAAGAAATAGCTAAAGCAAAACAAAGAATAGTTTTAACCATAACTACCATGTGGGTGGTATTATTAGTTACTCGTTTTGTAAGTATTAATAAAGCAATTGATCTTCAAGAGGAGGGAGAAAAGAGATGAGCAAGGGAGTCTAAGGAATCCAAAAATTGGAATTTTCACAAGATGCAAAGATACAGAGGAGAAATAACAAAGTTTCAACCAACACGCATGTTCATATATCCAAAAGATCGAAGATGAGAATTAAAATAATTTCAATGATAAATTTGATTACGTGACCTCTTCTCTACTTCATTCACAAAGATGTAACAACGGTATTGAGTTCGCTACTAGCAGAACAGGTAAGGAAAATAATTCAGAGAAAAAGATTATCCAGTCAATGGAAAAACTAAACCAGCAGTATCATTCTGTTTCCACATACTATAATATAGTCTTCACCATAATTATTTCACAAACATACTAAAAGGCCTCATGAAAATGACTAAAAGTTGACATCTCAAGCAACCAATGTAGATGTAAGAAGCTAAGAAGACCATTTCTTCATATTGTCTTGACTGCACAAAGAAATGAGAATTCTGTAAAGATACAATGAGAAACTGGAACAGCAGAGAAACTAAAATTTAGCTGTCTTAAGAAGATGACATGGTTAATGAAGAATGCAGGACATTACAAATTGATGTTCAGCTATCAAGACATTATGACAATGATAAGAGAGCAACCACCTTATGGATCTTGCAAAGAAAAAGATTCTGAACAAACAATGTACTAGAAATAGGTCTCCTATGATAAATCACTTCAAAATCCAGTACACATTGTGATTTTAGAACCAGTTCCGAATATCAGCTCACCTCTTTTTACTAAATTAATTTGCGGAGGACCACAGTAGTTATGTTGTGGGCTGTTATAGAGAGTTGAACATGCAATTTTTCGAACCCTTTGAGTTACAAATACAGTCACACGGAAGTGGAAAATGAGTTGATCAGTGGTTACAAACTTACAATTATTCTAAGTTTCTAACAGTCTAATTGATATGGAATAGTGACCATATAGTACCTTTATAATCATAATCCCTCTTATGGAAAATATAACTTTCAGGATAAAAGAACCTTTATTATCCCTCTTGAGAAAGCTTTGACCACAATCAAGATGTTCATAGTAAAAAGTATTTCAGCTCCTTAAGGAAAGGGAGTCTCTGCCGAGGCAGTCATAAACATCTTATAAGGCTATTTTTGCTACCCCTTTGATTTAGCGATCTAGCCCCTATATAATAAGTCTACTCATGAACATCAGTATTTCTTTTAGTAGCTGTTGGTTACTTAAACTTGCATATGGTTTATTTTTGTTTCTTTTCGCAATGGATACCTAAGCTCCTCTTTTGCTAAATATTGTTTCCATTTTCTACTATATGTCCCTATCTTCTTCTTATCTGTTATTTTTGTAGTGATAACCAGTCCACTGTAGGCTACCATTTAACTTGAGCAACATCAGCTCAAGACTTGAACACTTTTTTTTCCTCCCTAAGTAGAAGTTAACAAGTAATTATTAACCAATAGTAGGTGCCCGCTTTGTGATAGAGAGATCATACACAATCTTAACTGATGTTATAGAAAAGCAAATTCGCTACAGAAACTGTACAAATATTACATAAAACCACCAAGTACTGTAACTGTACAAATAAAATTTTCACATATTTATACCATGTATAAAATGACACTGACAAATCCAACTTATTAACACAATCTACACATTTTGTAGACAAATTGAACATAACCAGAACTTCCCTACGATTCAACATATAGCAGGGAACAAGCACTAATTTGTTGATATAATTACAAAATTCCAAGCTACAGGAATTTGTATGCCTTAATTTAAAAAAAAATCCAAATTGAAATCGACGGGCAAACTCTTTGCCAATAAGATTGCAGATCAAAGAATATATCCAACCAAGTTAAGAGAACCATGCAGTTAGTGTATCATAAGTAGTATGGGATTAGAAAAAAAACGCATATCTTGTCCTCATCAATTTGAAGCTATATGTGAGTACATTCTCTGAAGCTTGCCCTCATCAGTTTCCTGATTGAGACACTTCACCTTCCAACTCTGCTCGGCCATGCCCCACTCAGTCTCACGGACTTCTACCATTCACGGATCAATTTACATGCATTATGCAATTTATCTGTTACAGAGAATTTCAATAGAAACGCCGTGGGAGTATAATAAGCCAACACAACGCATCTAGCGCTGTTCACAAAAATACTCAGAAATCCGTTTCCACCACTACATGAAATCAAGTCAAAGTTATTATTGATGTATTATATACAGCAGCATCACATTCTGGCCTAATATTTGTGACTTACCCTTCCAATGCAACTACAAGAAACCCTAATATGTGTAAACAAAAAGGGAGATACATCCTAATCGAGAATCTGCATAATAATCCGGGAACCAATCCCAAACCCGTGTCCTCCAACAGAAAACCCTAGAGATAATTCAGAAGCAACAACACGGAGATTAGGATTTCCCGGACGACCGTCGTGGATGAAATCGACCCTATCGAATCAACAGAAATCGCGACAAAATCTAATAGCTTCCCGTATAAGCGCAGAAAATCAAGATCGGGAAAGTGATTAAGTGAATCGCAATCCGTAGAACAACGAATTCTTAAGGAATTGCTACGTCGGTTGCGTACCTCAAACGTTTCTCGCGTCGCGCGCTTGCGTCGGGTGCGTTTGATGGCTTCGAAATGGATTTCCTCCTCTCTCCCTCTCCCTCTCCCTCTCCCTCTATCGCTCAGCGAAGTACGCCGTCTCTCGCCATTTTATCCGCCTCGATTTGGTGGTATAAACTATAAAGAAATCAAGAAAACATATATATTTTATCTCCGTAAGAAATAATAATATCTTATTTTTTAGAAAATATTTTAGTCACCCGTGTATCCGTGCCCGAAAGATTCACCTGCCATCTGTGCTGAAGCACACAAAAGGGCTCCACCTGTAAAGACCAGCTAAACGTCGAGGACATTGTAAGTTGGTAGCTAAAGCGTGGTTCCTTCCAGGGTTCCCAAAGTGGGAGCAGGAGGATCACCTCCAAGAACAGTTCAATGAGAAAGTCTATTTCGTGCATATCTACTGTACGATGAGAAAGTCTGATGACTTTTCTGAAAAAGGAACGGTCCGATGGAATCATTTCACATAGAACTATTGGAAAGGATCCGAAAGTCGAAGGCGCGGGGAGAGGGAAGCGGCTCCCGTCCACTGAAACGACGGAGTCCGGGCGGGCGGGAAGGCGGGCAGCGATGGAGTGGTGAGGGATGCGACGAGAACGCTGACCGCGGTCAGCTGTTGTGTCGCAAGATGGCCGTCCGATCTTGCGGACATGGCACAATCAACGGTCCGGTAACGACAAGGCTCGAACAGTATGGCGACTGGGTCGCGGTTCGCAGCGATTGGGTGTGGTTCGGATCTAACAAGACACCAACTCAATCGAATCTAACAACACACCAATCGGGTCGGGTTCAGATATAATGGGGCATATTCCGGTATCACCTCCTACGATAATAGTTAGCAATCGTGTCAGCACCAACACAAAGCCTCAAGGTTGATATGGTGTATTGCGTTGACGTGACACCTCAGACTCAAATGAGATAGTTGTTTGTTCCCGTGCTGTTTGAAGTTATACAAGATGACGTCGAATAGCACAAAGTTGCTCCAAAAAACTCATAACAGCATCGCATGGTACGGATCCATGCAGGTCAATCGACGCTCGCACAAGAGGTACAAATCGATCGCTCGAGGAGTCGATTGTCATTAATAGATCATGTACGACCGACTGTCATTCGCAAGTATAAAAGCTAACCCCTGATTGACATCAAGAGAAGGACTTCAAGCATTCAACTATGCTCAATACTAATTTAACCTTTTGGATGGGTCGAGTTAGAAAATCTCCCTCCCAACCTTGATCTGTGTGCAGGAACCCAACAACAAAAAAAACAAACCACTCGCCAAGAGATAAGACCGTACTCAGGAGACAATGCTAAAACACAACTCCACTCGACACTTGTTTTCACTACCCGAGCATCTGCGTGGGCAACCTTGTACATTTAGGATTGGACTAAATCGTATTGACACATTGGCCATGACGTAAAGGTTCACTAACATTATTTAAAACTATATTGAAATAATCTTTTTATTATTTTTTTCTTAATACCTACAATAACCTAATCGTTTATTTATTGTTCTTTTCTTTTCTTATGGATCAATCAATGGGATGAACTGGTTTGATTATAATATTTTCGATAATAAGTAGGAAAACACTATAACACATTACCAAAACACTATGTTACAAAGAAAAAGAGAGGGAAAAAAAAAAGGAAAAAGGATGGGTAGTTGCCGGATATTCCATGTATTAAATAAAAAAAATAGTATTAGAGAATTTTGCAAAGGGGATATTTTTTGGAAAAATACCAAAAACTATTTTTTTTTCTTAAAATTTACGATTCCAACGCATTATTGACCAAAAAATAAAATTAGTTGTAAACAAAAATCTATATAGATTAGCTCTAATGATATTTATATATTTATTTATATTCTGAAGATGCATACCCATGAACGAGCTTAGACTTAATACATCCTGTAGCCTTTGGTATGTGCTGCTGTTGCTTCATCAATGCATGGCAAGGCTTCAAAAGTGTACAGTACCGTATGCTTCGATGTATGTGAGTTTTCGCTCGAGGAATATGTCTATTCACATTGGTCGTAATCAAATGATTGCATGAGACAGAGTGCATTTACTTTTAACAAGAACCTAATGTCCTTCTTCCTACCACACTCACAGTGGTTTCCCTGTCCAGGTTTATGCCTTCCACTTCTGGAAATAGTTTCTTGCAGCGGAGCTGAGCAAAGTACTCGTCGTCGTGCTTCACCCCCAACGAGCTTTTCTTCTTGCTTAGTTGTAGATGAAGAATGAAGAATGAAGCATATGTATGAATCATTTTGAAGAGGCAGTGAAGTCTTTCTCTTTTTTGAGGGGCTCATGCATCTGTGTCCTTCCTCATGCAGCACTGTAGTACACTGCGCCGCCACCCTATGCTTCTCTCTCTAGTCTGTTCTCATCTCTGATGTCTCCATCACATCGACCATATCCTGTAATCCTCCTTCAAATCCCAACCTATCATTCCATAATACAATCATTACTCCTCTCTCTCTCTCTCTCCCTTGCATTGCTATCTTCATCCTTTCTGTGGATCTGCACGCATCGATTACATTGCTTGTCATGCAAATAACAATGCATCAGCAGGAGTTCGAGTCACCCTCTCACAGCTACGTTGGCTAATTCTGTCGCAAAGAACAGAAGAGAGTAAAGGCTCTACCGCTGTACTGGCCACCTTTTTGGCCCTTCTCTCTCACCGACGGTGAGGCTAAACCCTGGCATGACAGGAAGAGAGAGAAGAACGAGAAGTCGTGAGGGGTATAAGGGACGGCTGTGCCGACGCGAAAGAGACACACAGCTTTTGAGGGCGGAGGGGAGCGAGAATGAGGAGCGCAGGTAAGTGCGAGGCGGAGCGCGGCGGGGAGGGGAAGGCGGAGAGGGAGAGGGAGAGGGAGAAGACGAAGCTGAGAGAGAGACGGCGGAGGTCCATCACGTCCAAGATCTTCGAGGGGCTCCGGAAGCATGGTGGGTACGACCTCCCCGCCCGCGCCGACATCAACGACGTCCTCCGCGCCCTTGCCCGCGAGGCCGGCTGGGTCGTCGAGCCCGACGGCACCACCTACCGCGCCGGTCAAAGAGTAAGCACACAATGCTAGCTACAGCACTGCGTCGTTCTCTGTGTACGAGCAGCGAGATCTTCCACTTGTTGTTCTGTGGATTCGTGTTAGATTACTCGGAATGCAGGGAGTTCAATGTATCGACAGTACGTGAGCATCAACACAAACAGGTTTCTCTTATACGAACACCTTCTCTTTCTTGCAGGTGTCACCGGTCTGGACCACCATCAATGCCCGAGGGAGGAGCATTGGCGGCAAAGGAGGAGGAGGAGGAGTTGAGAGCTCCGTGGCCACCTCCTCGCGGCCGCCACCCGCGCCGGCCGCCCCCCGTGCCATGTCCCTGTCTCCACTGGGGCCGTACGTGGCCTTCGGCGGGGCGCGCTTCCCGGGCCTGTGCGTCGGGGCGGCAGGAGGCGTGGCCGCCGCAGCGGCAGCCGCTGACGCATGGCCGCCGGAGGGGTGGGCGTGGGGCCAGGCGTCACAGCTGGGCGCGCCGCAGCAGAACGTATGATGGGATGTGGACGGCCGGTGATCTGCAGAACGCGACAGCTTTCCTCGACCTTCTCTTTTGTTTTAGCACAGTAGCTCTCTTCACACTCTATCTATGTGTTTTGTTTTTGTTTTGAGTTGCAAAAGTGTTTTGGGTTCCAAAAGCAAAGTGCGTTTTGTCTCCTAGTATGACTATTTCTAGAGGAACCTTTTCTCAATGGAATATTTCTATAGGATTTTGTGGTAAATTCAAATAAACATACAACAAATATTTAACCTCATATTATTATTATTATTATTATTATTATTATTATATCTTTTTATTAGTAATTGAGGGTCTAAATGTGTACCATCATTACGTCACTTATATTTAGATTAGTTGATGTTGGACTCTTATATATATATATATATATATATATATATAACGCTAAAGGTCTTATATGCCAAGTTTTCTATTTACGGGGATGTATATGCTAAACTTAATAATAAAGAATAAATTATAGAGATCAAGGGATATAAATGCAAAATTGGCTTCAGCACGGTACGATATATAAGAGGCTCCTGGGCATTCGGCAGCTTCCTTCGGCCTAAAACCCTAATCATCGAACTGGTGCGCCGGCGGCAGCCCCTCTATCCATTCTTTCCTTTGGTCTTTCCTGATCTAATCGCTTCTGACATTCTGCAGCGTTGGTCGATAGCGTCACGGTCCATATCGTTCGATTCAAGCAAATACAATGGCCGCGTAAGTATTCCGTTTCATCTGACATTGCTTTGATCTGATCTTGCTTTCTTTCTATATATGCTGTCTTTATTCGTCTGATGCAACTGCTACATCGAGTTTTCTTATGGTGAATTTAGTGTATAGGTGGTGAGGAAGGCATCAAAATCTGATTTTTTTTCTTTTTCTGTCCGTTTTTTTCTTCTTTCGTTTCTTTTGCTGTTCCTGATGATCATTTTGTATTTCGGGGGCATTGTACATGCATATCATTCTCGTTTTGTAGTAAATTTTGCACATATGATTCTCTGCATGAACTGTTTTTATGATTGGATTGGTCATTTTTGACAGCCTACTCTTACACTTAAATCGTTTAAATTTAGGGGTTGAATAGGTTTCTGGTCTGTAATTTATAAGCCTTTCAGATCTATTAGGTCGATAATACAAAAGGTCTTTATCTTTTCTGTCGTCTGATTCAAAACAATCCAAAAGATTCACATTTTTTGGCATTCCGTAGTATGATACTTTGGTAGTCATTACACAACAATATTGGATCACGAAACAACATATATCATGTTGCCGGCATAATAGTGGTAATTCCACCTAGTAGTATGTAGTGCTTTATGGAATCATTATGTATCATTTACTTTTTTGATGCTTGTAACCTATATTTAACCGGTTTGATGTGTGTAAAAGTTTGCAGTTTTGTATGTACCTACCGAGCCATGTTGTTTTTGTCATATGTTTCTTGTCTTTAATCGTTGTTATCAGGAATGACTGACTTTTTTTCTCTCTCTGTTTTCAACCACTGGCAGGGAAGACATTGCTGCCGAATCATCTGCTCCTGTGCTTGGAGAACCCATGGATTTGATGACTGCTCTGCAACTGGTGATGAAGAAATCACTGGCTCATGATGGGCTTGTTCGCGGTCTTCATGAAGCTGCAAAGGCAATCGAGAAGCATGCGGCACAGCTCTGCATTCTGGCTGAGGATTGCAACCAGGCTGACTATGTCAAGCTGGTTAAGGCTCTTTGTGCTGATCACAACGTGCACTTGGTCACTGTGCCTAGTGCTAAAACTCTTGGCGAGTGGGCTGGGGTGAGTTCATTCCTATCATCTTTCTGCTTTTGTTAATGCTTTTTCTGTAATTTAACTCAATTTCCACTTGAAAAGCGAAAATTTTATGACCTCAAACCTTGTGGTGATTGAAATGCAATCATCGAGGAGGACCAGTGCCCCGTTATGTGGATAAGCACCAATGTCCATGATTGTTTCTTTAGATAAAACTTGCTTTAGTTAATGAATCAGGAGAATCTATTACAGTATTTATGTATTGCATATTTATTGGTGGATTCTTATTCTTCTTTCTACCATTCTGTTATTGATTTTATCATCCATAACTTGATATTGGATGTCATGCAGCTGTGTAAGATCGACTCAGAGGGAAAGGCAAGGAAAGTGGTGGGCTGTTCATGTGTCGTCGTTAAGGTGATTGAAGTGTAGTAATAAGAACTTATAATCTTAATTCCTGTTTTGCAAAATGGTTACTGTAAGTTGACATGCACGATTAATTGTTCTGTCAAATGACATTTGCAGGATTATGGTGAGGAGTCAGAGGGCCTTCACATAGTTCAGGAGTATGTGAAGTCACACTGAGTGGCATCAGCAGTTTATCTCTAGTTTACGGTTCCTTAAATGTCATGAGCACTTGCATTATCAAGAAACATTCAACATTTGAAGTTTTGTAGTTGATTGGCATTGATGGTTATTCCCTTGTGAACCTCGTGATTGATTTGTCATGACAATCTTCACTTATCACTTTTTTTTCCCTAATTTTCATGAGAATTTTAATTTATTGGGAGTAGAAGGATGATGATGTTTGCAATTTTTTGTAATAACGGATTAGTTTTCTTCGACCTTCATGGTTAAATATCTGAAATCTTTTTAGATTAAACATGTGAAATCTTACTAGGTTTTACGGTGCCTTGGTGTTGTCTGTGATCAGCAATTGATTCAGTTGCCATGATGATTGCAAGAGTCATGAGCATATTCCAAACACCATGATCTCATTTTACAGGTCGAACAAGTGACTTGGGGCAAAAGCTTGAGATGGATTCTGCACAAGAAGAAAGTATATGATGTGTTGAAAGTGCCTACTGAAATAGAAATCAGACATAAGGACACAACAATGTCACACAATTAAGAAGGATGACAAGAAGCATCTGCAAGTAACAGCTGCTTCTGTTTTGTGATTACAGCCTGCAACTTGTGAATCTTCCCAACTTTACTCTTCTGCTGGTCACTTACAGAATCCTCGTGGGCACTGCATAGCGGCATCTTCATCCTGAAACCAAGCTTCTTCGAAATGCTGCTCCATCGACTCCTTCCCCGACCTAACTTCTTGATTTCTTGCTTCATAGTTGTGCATTCCTTTTCGAGCTCAGATACTCTCATCCTCATGTAATCCATGCCCACCTTCAGATCCTTGTTCTCCCTAACGGCGGTTGGTGGTGTACATCCTCCAGCTTCACCCGAACAAGCAATTCCACTCCTCAGCAGTCGCGAGCCATCAAGGTTGTCAGACACCAGCAAACATCCAGCAACCGACGTCCGAAGTTGAAGCTGCTCAAAGAACAGGACTTGAACCACGACTCGCAGAGGGAGCCTCTCATTCTGTGCAGCATGAGTGCAAGCTTCTAGTGACAGCTTCTGGCTGTCCATCAGCCGGCACAGCTGCTCCCTCTGGTTTTCTGAGAGCCAAGGATGTGCCTGTATTAGCATCAAGCTATGGACATCAGCAAATTATTTGCAATTGCCAAGTAGATATCTTCCTTAAACATTGTTTCTTTTGATAAATGAGAGCGAACATTAGCTACCTACTTTCAAGAAATCTCAGCAATAATATCAGTATAACTTATAGGAAGAGCATGAGATTGCGGGTGTGAAGTTTCATTTATCAGTGTCTAAGAGTTGGACAACTACCTTCAGGTATATGTCAATGGCATGGTACAGACCGTCGTCGAGTGGTCGGGCGTAATCAGGTACGGCAGCAGCCAACATTTGGAACTTTGGCAGCTTTAAGTTGGTATCTGGAGCAACCTCTGCTAGATAACCATCAATTAGCTTGGCAACAGTGGTTATTGGCATCAAAGATGAGGAACCGATTGACTGCTCATTATTGACCGAGCCAGGAGAGGTTCCACCCGTAGCTTGATCCATGGCTAAGAAGTGATCAAGCATTCTTTTGACACAATCAACATTGTAGAGTGTCTCCGTGGAGTATGCAAAGGTTGGGAAAAGTAGATCTTCCAGGTCGGCCTGGTCTAGCTGCATCCCGATCCTTTTCTCCAAGTTAGAAATGCATGACGTGCGAGCTTGCAGAATTATGGCAGTGCGAAGAAGACCAAGCAAGATCTTGGTTGAGGCTACACCCTTTTGAAGAGGCAACAAGCTATCAATCTCTTCGACGAGATGCCGTTGCTCTTCTTCAGAAGGTGCAGCTACAAAATTTCCATGTGCCAGATTCTGATGCCTGTTCAGTCCGGGAAGATACCGTTTAGCGTAGAAAGTCAGAGAACCTGCAATTGTTTCTTGTCTGATGCCCCGAGATTTCATCAGAGAGATGAGCCTTTTGTACAAGGGAAAAGTCAAGGAGGAGACATCCTCGTACCACCAATCTGAACGACAGTTTGTAGGTCTAGCTCCTGTGCTTATCCCATTCCACAACACACTCCCACCAGGGCTTTGCATGGCACAGTGCTCCATCATCGGCCAGCCAAATAGATTTGGATCTGTACTAGCTTTAACGGCTAAGGAATCGATACATCTCTTACTAAGCTGAAGGTTTTCAGCATGAGGGAGGAAATCACTGCATGTTTGGAGTGCTTTCATCGAATCTTTCCAGCTGCGAAGGACAACCTGGTTAAAGAAGATTTCTGTCTGAGCAATCAAGTTGCCTTCTGCTATCTCTTCTGTCATTTGAAGGTGCTCCGAAGCATAGCGCAAGCGCACAACATTTGATGAATTGAGTTCCAACTTCACACCATAGCAGAACTTGACCACAAGTTCAAATGCTGGTGCCCCACCGGGAACATCATGCAACTTTATTGCTTCTTCTTTGTCAGAGTTCTCCTTGATTAGTTTTTCTAAAAGACCACTCTTTGATAGCAAAGGAAACTGCAAGAAAGAATTGCAAATATAATTCTTGATAGCAGCATTCAACTTAAGTTTTGAAGTATAAAGGTTCTCACAAAGGTCAAGAAAGTCGATAAATGGATGTCGGTGAAAATGTTCAGATAACTACCCTCCGCTCTCCCTTTCTATTCATGATATTCACCTCTTAGTCAAGTTGCACAATAAATAATAACTTAAATGAACATCGAAACACCGATACATGCCAGATGAAGCTTAATTTTCTAAGTTAATATCCTCACCTTATGGAGGTGGAACATCATATCTCCAACTTCAACGGTAAGATCACTTGGAAGCCCAGTTGTACAGAACCTGAAAAAGTTTAAAATAAGTGATCTGCGGCAAAGATTTCGGGAATCACCAAACTAAGGCTTTGAAAACGCGAAGTTCACAAGCAAAACTAGCAATAAATCCTAGTTATATTTTAATCAGGCGTTCACAGGTTAAAATGGCAAAAACATTATAATTGTAATTACAGGAGTCTAGAAAGAAGTGTGCAAATATTATGAAATCTCAGAGTAAAGAACTTCAGAAGAAATGCAATTTTGCAAGTCATAGTAGGATGGAGGCCATCTATCAAGAGTGTGTCTGATCACTCGAGGAGAAAAAAACTTCTTATTTTTCACTTGCATAAACTTTCTATCTCCTTAAGCAGGTTTGATCACTTAAATCCTCCATAGTTGTTCTTGAAATTTTACTGGACATAACTGAACAATCCTGAGTATAGCACTAAAGCACCGTAAAGTTTATATTAAAATATCCACAAACATAATAAGCCTCCCCAACGCAAGATCATGGAGCGGCATCTCGGCACATCCAATGACACAAACAAAGGAAATAGAGGTAGGTACATGGACAAATAAATGGATAAATAGAAAATAATACATATATGTTGAATTCTTTAATTCTCAATGATTTGGTCAAGAAAGAGAGAACGGTAGCAAGAATTGTCATTATTCACCAAATGATACACAGTACTGCATTTTCTATAATATAGGAGTCAATAAATAATCTCAAGAATTATGTGTCGTCCACCAATCACAATTACTAAAATGGCATGTAAACAATTAGTTTTGCCTGTCAAGCAAGATAGGAACAGGATTGGAATATATGGTGAAGCAGAAAGAGCAAACTTCGCTAGTCAAAGGAAAATGCAGAAAAATCACTCAGATGTTTGATTCCCATAACAAAGATATGACTTTATGGAGCGATGAAAACAATATGTTCTTCACAAGAACCACATCACTAATACTTCCTTTCTAATGGAAAAACAAGATAATATTCCCAAGACATGACATTTTTTAGCACGTAAATCACATTTTTGGTATCGTCTTGAGTTTCAATAACAAAAAAAAAAAAAAAAAACTCTTCAAGAAGAAAGCCAAATACTAGATGATGAAAATTCAAACAGGAACAAACTTTGACAGATATTTTCAGGTTATCTCAGAACAAGAACTAATTAAAAAATAGTAACGAAATCTCCAAAACTACTACAAGAACACCATGCACCATACCAGGATTGCCCTTGTTGCCGGAAGGCATCAGGTTTCGATCCCAGCTTCATGCATGCCATCTTGAATGAATCTAGGAAAGATGTGATTAAAGAATCTCAAACAAGGTCCTGCAAAAACACGGTCACAAAACCCACCACTTTGTGGTCATTGATCATCACCCTACATGCTCATGTAGATAAATGCTCTTTTATCCATGAACTGGTTTATCTTGTACAATGCCACCAAGTGAAGGCCCGAAGTAGGAACCATAGATTGCAAAAGGGTCCTGTATCTCAGAAGCACTGCCCTAGCGACCTTGTAGTGTCATCCAAAGGTTGCACATTTATGGATAGTCCAAGCACTTCACTTCACTTCATTTAGGGGCCCTGCCAAACCACCTCATAAACCCTAAATGACCAAATTCAAGATCAAGGGTTTAGGCTACACCCCCTCTGTAGAAGCATTAAGAAAGCCACAATTGACTCACAAGAACCCCTAAAGAAGCAAATTCCAAGATCCAAACTTCAGGAGACTCCCATCTGTAGAAATATCAAGAAACCCAGCATTGAATCACAAAAACCACCCCAAAACCCTTGACCAACCAAATCCAAAATCCAAACTCTAGACAACTCCCATCTGTGGTAGCATCAAGAAAACCCACCATTGAATCACATAGGAAGCATTGACCCTTTACCGGTTCAATCCAACCCAACCAAACATAATGGATAGAAACCCAGAGGAGGGGCAGAGTTGCTGTCCTATCCTGTCCTTTACACTCACAACATTTTTTTTGCACCCCTAATTAATGCTCTTGCAGACTTGGAGGGGACCAACTCAGTGCATAATTCATCTGCCCAAAGTGATGACAAAAAGATGAAACAGAAGAAAGCAAGAGCTCTACAGGACAATTTGAACAAAAAGACAAGTTTCAAAAAATAGTGTGGACAGTGGCCCCTCCTCAGCCTACTCTCCCCCCTCTATGCTCTCACAGACATGTAAGCAATAGATCTACAACTCTTTGCTCCCCAATGCAGACAGATTCCCTGTACGGTGTAGCTGTGCTTACCCAACTGAGCACTTCAAGAACTCATTCAGGAAGGCAGTTCAACACCTTTTCTTCTAGTAATCCTTTCTTCTTCGATGTTAGAGCTGCCACCCATGTGGACAATGAAATCACCATGACAGCACAAGAAGAGAGTAAAAAGAAGACCTGGTCACTGTTTTGATGATATTGTTGATGTCAAACCAAACAAGTGGCCATTGTGGCCATGAGATGTGTGAGATTTCTAGTTGGAGTCACGAGGAAATGCCATAATATCGGACGATAATCTTCAATGAGAGGATGTTTAGTGAACAAAGGTAAGCATGCATGTTATGCACTTAGACAATTTGTGTGCGTCGACCGATAGTCTCCAAAACAGACAGCAAAATACCACTTCCCACAAGACTGAATCTTTCAAGTTATAAGCTGACGGAAACCATTTAATTAGGGAAATCCTTGTTCATGTATGTTCTTAATTATGTAACAAGCAATCGATGAGAACCAATTGCTACAGTCGAGTTGATGAACATGATATCGCAGCTCTTGGGTCAATTTTGCCAATGTCCACTCGGGCAAAGGTGCATATTACATTTGTTAAGGCATGTATCAAGCCATAAAGACACATATTATACAATCTTAATCTATTGGTGTCAAAAACACTAAGAGGGAGGAGTGAATTAATACGACGAAAAACTTTTTTCTCATTTTCTTTTTTTCTCGCCTCCTCTTTCTCGACCTAGTACTCTTTTTACTTTCTCTTCTTACCTTATCTTCTTTCTTTCTCGTCGTCCTCTTTCTCCACCTCATACTCTTCTTTTCATTATATGATTGTGATATACACATACAACCTGATGGTTGATTGTTCATCATAGGTTGTGGGATCAATGGATTGGGCGGATTTAACCTTGCATGTCAAGAGTGGTTAGAACTAGCAAGAGGTCATCATGAATCAAATTATACGTGTATATGCATACACATGCATCTTGATTGAACAAACATTATACATATATAGAAATATAATTTCCTTCCGTAATTACTTTATACTGCATGCAAGACATCTTACATGGCTTCAAACCTGAGACTTGTCAACTACACAACACTGCACTAACCACTGGGATATGTACATTTCTCATAAACTTAATAAGCCACATTTCTTTGGAAGAACTCAACGAAGATACAGGGCACATCCTCGGTTCAGCACATTGTATGGATGGTTTCGGACATAATCCATGTTTTCAATGAATTCCCTGCTTCTCAAAAGAATAAGATGTTTTGCTTCTAGAATAAATTGAAAATGATCTAAACACATTCTGAAAATGAAACCTAATTGACAGTATTTGCCCCCATGCTACACACACATACATACAGTTGGATGAGTTTAGTTGGGAAACAAAAGGGTTGCTAAGTAGCTTCAAAAGTCCAGAGTCACAGGATTGAGAAGAATAAGAACACAGAATTCAGTGTTAAGCAAAGAAAGAAAACTATAATACATAGGCGAGGCATCCCAAGATTTTATGTTAAGGCTGTTTCGGCTGTTCCCTGTTCTTGCCCAGGTCCATTAGAGGTAGCATCCTGGAGAAGTGAATCATTAAACAAGTGAATGCATCAACAAGAATGAGACTGTTCGTGCATGAGTTATCTATTGATTGAAAGGTAAAACTTTAGCTTACCCCACTGGACATTGGATCTCTTATGAAGTACATAGACTTCAACATCGTCTCGAGGGTATCTCTTGCCAATTGGAATTTAACCTGTGTTTCACCTGATGAAGACTGTGTATCACCTTGGAGCCGCAAGATATCCACTCCGAAAGTATTAGCATAATTTATCTGGTTTTTTCTATAGTGAGAACCACAATTTCTTGGCATTTAACAGCCAATAAGATTGAAATCAGTGGTTTGTACAGGAGCACAAGCTTTCATTTCCAGTGGATCTAGTAAAGCATTATTACAGACCTGGTAGAAATGAACAAATGGGTGTAGTACAACATATTATAAACAATTGAATAACTATGCCATATTACTCATTTCTATTGCAAAACCTCAGGAGCAAACAATTGATCTAGATGGGCATCTCAATCACTGTTTATTTCATCTGATTGTGCAGAGGTGGCTATTATATAAATTATTCTCAGCCAAGAACTTCTCATTTTCTCTAGTTTTGTGCAGACATAAACTAAACCTATATCTAGTTCTGAATACTGAAGGCTAGGTAAACAATAGAAAATATGAGCTTCAGGCTGAGAACAAGAGGGGTAACACTAGCATAGCCTTTTCTCATTGGCTTCAGAAGATAATTATTCGGATTGACATCATTGATTAAATAACAGTGAAAGCATCTACAGTGTGCCCTGTTTTCTGCCTTCAGTTTTAATCAATTGATCGAAAATAAAACAAATTGGACAACATTATCAGGGATATTGTATGTCATAGAATAAGAAAAAAAAACTTAATTGGTTGTACCTTCAGATTCATAACAGCAACATGCTCCACAGAATCTTGATTTTGATTTACCACATTACATGTCATTGCCTTCGGGCGAGGCAAAGAAACCTGAAGAACAGAAAAGAAAATTTATTAAGACATAAGTTGGCCTACGATTTTTCTATATGATTTGCAAATAGAAAGTGGTGTTCAAAGGAAAAGCAGCACTTATTTTGTCAATATGGAGTTCATTACAGTTGCTTGTTGATATAGCAAAAAAATTGATGCTTCTCAACTAAAGAGCAAATGGAAGGATTGTCTATCACTACAAATCTCTTGACTATATCTGAAGCAAGAATATAATTGTATAATCATGCTCTACATGCTACAGAAAAAAAAGGTCAAAAATAACTGCATAACCATCCCTTATATGTTGCAAAGGGAAACATAGATCCTATGTAGATTGAAGAAAAAGATTGACCTGATCTTTGAGCACATCTTCGCGCCATTCTCGTTGAAACTTCTGCAGGAGCAGGGTGAGTAATCTTTGTAATTCAGGTAGGACTTCTGGTGGAAACAACTTCTGTATCTCATCCTTTGATATGTTTTCATAGACACACCTTCGAATTAACATACGAAGACATACCAAAAGCTGCAAAGGGAAAGTAAATCCACTAATATACCACACTAATGTGTTGA